ACTGATCCCAATGAAGAGGAGATAGCCTCAAGCGAAGTAGGTTGAACAAAGTAGTTTGATTGTGAAGCAGGATAGATACATATATGAGATGAGAGAAGAAAGAAATAGCTACAAATATTGTTTTGAGAGTAATAAAACGTACAATTAACAACCTTGTTATTCAAATTCTTGGAACGGTAGAATTGGTGAATGATTGTGTAAAACTCCCAATAATTTTATCTTTTTGTGAAAAATGATGGTAGTTTTAACCTGTGCAAATATGGATAATTGTGAACGTATTTTTTTTTTTTGTAAACAAGAACAACTTTGGTCTTTTGGCATGATTTATAGAAATCCTGATGGCATTATGATAGGAAGTTGATGCACTTTTTCTTGAAATCATCAAACGACAATAAGAAATTAGGAAGAAGAGCACACCAAAGCTATTTTTATTACAAGATTTATTAAAGAAAATTGCAAGATACAGTTGGATCTTCAATTCGAGAGGAATATTCGGTTCTCCAAAATCCCTAGCTTACGGCTAGAGCCCAAATAACCTATGAAATCCTAATTTTAGCAAACATCTAAACATAATATGAAATCATCCCATAGTTAGCCTTAAATAGGCTCTCATAATTCCCTCACAAATCAGTCCTCTTGCCCTATATTAATTCCTTTTCAGATTTGAATTTAAATTAGATTTATTTTCATAATTAATTCCCTCCAAATTGTAATTAAGACTTTCCTAAACAATCCTCCTTAATTCCGCCTTTTCCCTAAATAATTCTCTCATAGATTTTAAATTCAAATTATATCTCTTGCCCTAAATAATTCCCTCCCATATGTAATTACAAATTTTCCTAAACAAATCCCCTTTGATTTGATAAAAAAGTTGCCCTCAAACTTAAGGGAAAATTCTATAAGATGGTGGTGAGGCCTGCAATGCTTTATGGCGTCGAATGTTGGCCATTAAAAGAGAAGCATAATATGAAGTTAAGTGTGGCAGAAATGAGGATGCTCAGGTGGATGAGTGGTTTTACCCTTAGAGATATGATATGAAATGAGTATATACGTGAAAAGGTTGGAGTAGCTCCAATAGAAGATAAGATTAGAGAGAGTCACCTTAGATGGTTTGGTCACAGAAAACGGTGGCCTTCCAATGACCCGGTTAGGAAAATAGAGGTATTAGATTTGACTTATGTTAAGAAAGGTAGAGGCAGACCTAAAAAGACTTGGTTAGAAAATATTAAAAATGATCTTTCTCTATTAGATTTAAACAAGAATTTGACTTTTAATAGGACACAATGAAGAAAAATGATTCATGTAGTCAACCTCACGTAGTGGGATAAAGACTTATTGTTGTTGTTGTTGTTGTGTAAATCCCCTTTGATTGAAAACCTTCATAAATAATTCCCTCTTAATTAAGAAACTTCCTAATTCTCTCCCAATCAAATCAGATGGTCTATCAATACTCTCCTCCCAAAGTGCTACCTTGTCCTCAAGGTGGAACAAAAGAAATTGCTGTTGAAGCACTGGACTAATTGCACTAGACTAAAAAATGGACTGTCACTAGATCGAGTGGTTCCTGCCTCTAGCATCTCCTTGATCAATTTCTCTATCTCATCCTCCTGGAGTTGGGGAGAATGGTACAGACGAACACTGATATGTGAGGCTTCGTCCTTCCAAAAGATAACATGCTTGTGTTCCCGCGGAGGAAACAGCCCATGAACTTGCTGGAACACTTCTCCATATTCCTGTAAGAGCGAATGAACCATGTTTAGTGCTTCTATCTTCTCCTCATATTCTTTTTCTTCCAAACTCTTTAGTTCACCCAAAAATCCTTCTCCACCATTTCCCCTCCTTGGAAGTGATTCCAAATATGGCATCACTTCTTTTTCCACAAAAATTTTCACCTCCTGATTTACCCTCATTATCCCTATATTATGGTTTCTTCCATTTTCTTGTCTGGTCAATGATGCTCTCACCTTCGATGTTGTCAGTTTGGTTTTGTCCTCAAGAAGCTTTTTTATCATCTCCTCCATGATGGCAAAATTCTCATCGATCTTCTTATGAATGGCTGAAAATAGCTTTTTGAAACCTGAAGTCTTTTCTACAAAATCAGATTTTAATTGTCCAATCTCCCTTTTCAACACTTCTACATTCCTTCCCGCCATAGGTACTCAGCTCTAGGCTCTGATATCAATTTGATACGAAGTTGATTCACATTTCCTCAAAATCAATGAACAATAATAAGAAATCAGGAATAAAAACACAACAAAACTATTATTATTATAAGATATATCAAAGAAAATTGCAAGATACAGTAGGATCTTCAATTTGAGAGGAAGGTCTAGCTCTCCCAAATCTCTAGCCGCCGGCTAGAGCCCAAATACCCTAAGAACAATCTAATCTCAGCAAACTACAAACATAATTTGAAATAACCCAATAGTTAGCCTTAAATAGGCTCCCATAATTCCCTCCCAAATCAGTCTCTTTCCCTATATAAATCCCTCTCAGATTTGAATTCAAACTAGATATATTTCTATAATTAATTTCCTTTCAATTGTAATTAAAACTTTCCTAAACAATCCTCCTTAATTCCTCCTTTTCCCTAAATAATTCTCTCTTAGATTTTGAATTCAAATTAGATCTCTCGCCCTAAATAATTCCCTACCAAATCAAATTAAAAATTTTCCTAAACAATTCCCCTTTGATTTAGAACCTTCCTAAATAAATCCCTCTTAATTAGGAAACTTCCTAATTCCCTCCCAATCAAATCGGCCGGTCTATCACATTACTAAGATTTTCTTTGAAATATAATATACAAGGGATTCATTGTAAACCTTAGCATTCATAGCAGGATTTCACAAAAACCATAGTTGCACTGTTAGGGGTTTTAGAGAACATAAGATTGGGTTTAGTTGTCATTTTTTATAAAATTGATTAAGCAATTTTGATGAGGATATCAGGACATGGAAAGTTTATTAGAGGCGTCGCCGTCAATCTACGGTCATGATTACACCGCTCTACTTTTGATTTTCATATTTATTATTGATGTATTAGTTCTATTTATGAAGTTTTATTATGCTTTTCCATTTTTACCCTTACTTAAGGATTTAGGTATGTGTAAGCCCTAGGGGCATAGTAGTACTTTGTATTTTCTCATTATATGGGCTATTTAAAGCCTCCCTAGCTCTTCTTCTTTGAGGGTTAATGGATGATAATAAGTTCCTGCAACTCTTGTCTTGAGAGCTTGAGAGCGTGAGAGCTTTGGAGAGAACCCTTGGAGAGGGAACCGGATCATTCACCAACCTTAGAAGTGTCCGGGTTCATGGCTTTTATTTTCTTTCTTCCTTTTGGCTTCGTTTCTCTCTTCCCCTTCCTCCTAGCCGCCGGCCTATGGCCCCTAACCACTTAGCCGCCGGATTCCCTAGCCACACTCCACCTTCCGCCGGCCAACTCCTCCCCACCAACCCATCTCCCCTCCACACCCAAACCGGCCCTCCCTCTCCCACCACCAAGCCATTCAACCCACAAACCCTAAACCTACTCCTAGTTTAGCCGCCGGCCATACCCTCACCCTCACACCTCCAAAATTCAAATCCCTCCATTACTTCTTTTCTTTTCCATACAAATCATTTTGGGAAAGCCTTCAATCCAATCAACCAATCAATATTTGAAATTCAAATTGTTTCCTAAAATAAAAATCTATTTTAGGAAACTTATCCAATCAAATCCAAATCAAATTTGAATTGGATTGGAATTAATTCTTCCCTCCTTAATTGGAATTCCCAAATAGGCAAGCATTAAAACCCTCTCCCCAATCCCCTCCATTCCTCTTGATGCCGTCGGCCCCATGGCCACTTTCCCAATTAATTTCGTTCCAAAACTCTAAGCTCCAATCAAAGGAATTAATTCCCTAATTCCTCCCTCCCTCTCCTCCCTCTCTCCACCGGCGACCCACATCAAACCCTAGCCTCCAACGCAAGCTTCCTTCCTGTCCAGAAATTTCTGGATGCTAATAGTGGCTGCCCACCCTTCCAAACCCTAGAGAGCTGCTATCCAAGACCTCCTGTTTTCTGTCCAGTGATTCTAGCAGGAGTTCGCTGCTGTCAAGCCCCTTTGGGAGCGACCGTTGCTGCCTGGAACTGTCAGGAATCACAGTCCCAGGTTGGCTACTTGCTGTCCGAAGGTTCAAGCTTGGATTTGTTGTTGTCCGAGCCGTCCAAGAAGCTACCAACTTTTGTCCAAGCTTTCGAGAAGGTTGAATTTTAGCAAAGGTGAACTCTTGCCTTCTCTCATACTTTCCTCATTGATCCTTACTTGTGGTTTTGATTGATTCATGCAAAATCTTTCTACGCTCCGCTAAAGCTTAGTGTTTAGTAATAATTATGTGAGAGATCTTTCATAGCACTACTCTTATTGTTAGATTAGGAATTTCTTGTTGAAACCCATCTCGTATGCAACGTCAAGAGTAATTGATTGTTATGTGGTTTTTACTTTTCGCAAGTAACTTAGCCTAAGCTTGTGTTTACCGTTCTTTGTGTTTTATTTCAATGTTTAACTCACCATAAAGTTTTAATTAACTTGCTCTTAATCATCAAGCGTGCAAAATTCTTATATAAATCATAATTTCATATATGTTATGCATCAAATTTTCTTTTGTTTGCACAGTATTAAACTACTATTCTTTCTCAAAAAACTTGGCTATATTAAATTCAATATGAATAGCTGTGAAATTCATAATCAATGATTTGAATTGTAGATAATTATTTATTTGACATGCTTTGTATTGCTGCTAGAAGATTGTCTTACTCTTAGAAGCTAATAATTCTTCATATGAAAGATATATAGAATGCAAAGAGCTCTACTCATTTGTTGGGCTAGACTGCAAATGATTAGGTTCCATACAAGATATCAAGCATTTGTTATGTGCATTGATATATGACATTGTTTTGTCCTTTTGATGTTTTTATGCACTAGAAATTTCCATATGACCATTTATTCATCTTATTTTTCAGGCAAGAGAGCTATTTTGCTTATTTATTTGGAGTCAGAGAACCGGGTTTCTATGGGGCCATTGTAAGTGCTAGCTGTTGTACATTTTTGTCTATTTATTCTTTTCATCCAATTGCGTACATATGATATTTTTCTAAGCTATTTAACTAGTTCATTAAACTACCTTGAAACATTTTAGGGCCTACTTATTTGCAAGTATTTTGACCGCACTGGATTTAAAACGTATGGGTTTTACATTTATTATTATTATTATTATTATCTTTTTGGCTGTTTGGTTGAGTTTAAAAGAAATCCAAAGTATTAAGACAAATAATTTGAATGCATCACATTGTTCATTTTGAGTGTATTAGGAATTCACCCAAATCAGACAAATTTTGTGTGAATTGCAAATTCACGGCATCGCGACCTCCTCTCCCTAAATCACCCTGATGCAGGACTAGAATGACTAAGCAATATGAGAAAGAACCTTGCACAGTTTAATTTAGAGAGCTTCATTAACTAGAATACTAGCAGCGATTAAACGATGAATTAAAGACAAGAAAGGGATGAGGCAGCTTATGCCAAGTCACACGATTAAAGGTCAGGATCTTAAATAATCAATAATTCAAAACATAACATACATGACAGATTTCCAAGAAAGCCCTACGCTAACAATGAGATTATTCACTATAAAGGGTCCTTCACTCAGTTATAATTTACTAGGCTTAACAGAGAAGTTTAACACGATCGTAGTGAATCAATTAAACCACAAGTGGGGTAAGAGTCAGGGAGGAAAATATTAGGGGAAATATTCACCTTGCTTAGGATTTGAAAACAATCCTCCATGGACGAAAGAGAGTTTCTCCTCAATAGCTTCAGTGAGGGTGAAGATGATCCTCTTCACGTAATCTTCCACGGTTTGGTCAACCTCGAGGTTGAGGTCGAAGAAAGGGGAGTTGAGGATATCAACGTGCCTTGGTCGTCGTAGATGAAGCCAGAGTCATGCTCCGGGTCGGCCATTCATGAGGAGAATGACGCTTTGGTAAGGTAGGAGATGATTCCTTGTTGTCCTTGATGGATTGTTTTGTTAGGGAAGGGATTTGCCAAACAATTTCAAGGAGAAGAGGGAGGAAAGGAGGGATCGTCCAAGCTAGGATGGTTAGGGAAAATTAGGGTTCAGGTTTTGGAGGTGGATGGATGAGGATTGGTGTGAAATTATAATCCCTAAATTAATTTTGGTGTGAGGGAAATAGGGATTAAGAGTTTCTTAAAATTTGTTCCCTCCTTTAGAAATAGTTCAAGGAAATAGGAGAGAAAGGGGCGACAGGTAGAGAGGGGGAAAGGAGGGGTTAGGCTGGCGGCATTAAGAGGGAGAGAGGGATTAGGTAAGGGAATTTATGGCTTGCCTTAGCAAGGCTCTTTAATTGAGGAGAAGAAATTAATTCAAATCCAATTTGAAATTGATTTAAGAAACTTTTAAAATAGAGTTCTATTTTAGGAAAGAATTCAAATTTCAAATTGATTGAAAATTTGAAGTTAAGACTTTCCAAATTGGTTCGGAGGAAAAAGGAAAGTAGTAATGAGTAGTTTTGAATTTGGGCTGCAAGGACGGAAAGACTATGGCTGACGGCTAGGGGGTGGTGAGGTGAGAGGGCTGGAGGCTATGGAGGATTGGGGGGTTTGGGACCGGCGGTTTGGAGGAGGTGGTGTTAGGCCGCAAGGAGAGGGGAGGGGGCTATGGGTAAGTTCGACTGGGAGATGGAGAGGGGGAGGGAGGATGGTAGAGACGTCGTCTACTCTCGAACCTGGACTCTTCCTATGGTTGGTGGGTATTGCGATGCCCTCACCTAGGGACTTCAACCTCTCTAAAGCTCTCTAGCTCTCACAAAACTCAAGGATGCAGAATTTTCATAATAATCATTCATTAACTTCAAAAGAATAACAATGGGCTTATAAATAGCCTCATACAATGAAAGGAAAATAAAAGACGAACTTGCCCCTAGGGCATACATACAACTAGGCCCTCAAGTGAGGGTAGAAATGGAAAAAGTGCATAAATAAATAAAATACATAAAATGACTCATAAATAGATCGGCGCGATCTTGGTCGTAGATCGTCGGCCTCGCCTCTAGTAAACTTTCCAAGGCCTGACGTCCTCATCACACCCCCATCGCGAGCTTTCATTTGTGAGATTCCATCGATGCTTTCCCCAACAAGCTCTTGCTTTCGAGCTCATATTGTTGCTTTCCCCAGCAAGCTCCCACTTGCGAGATTCTGTCAATGTTGGCCTCAACAAGCTTCTTCTTGTGAAATTTCGTTGATATCGTACTCAAAGATCTCCCATCGCTACGTGCCTCAGCAAGTTATCGCTCACGACCCATAATCATGACTTCCTTATGCGAAGTCGCCAATTTGAGTATTGACCTTTGTCGAGTGTCTGCCGTCGTGGCAATGACGCCATTGTTGTGAAGCCTAACATGGAGTCCTGTGACCAAATTAGTTTTCTTTTTTTATAATTTTTTTTTTACCTTTGTTTTGTTATCTAAACCGAAAAAAGGGATCTCCTTAATTTTAAATACATTGCGTTCGATTCACACTGCATTATACCTAATTTCTAAGTACTTGCAAGAAAACAACTCCTCAATTAGTTTATTATTAGAATATGTAACTGTTTCTCATTCTTGCAATTTTGAGATTCTTTAGTGATGCATAATCATTGTAGCACTAGTCCTTATTCATATAGATCATCATGAACCCATACTTTTAGATATGTTTTAAATATATTCGTATTTTAATTATATAATTAAGACTCATTATATGATTTATTTGTTGGTCTTGAGTATTTAATTATGTATTGAGGTTCATATTTTGTCACGACTTGACCATAAACTTGGAATATCAAGGCCAGAAACAGATGGTAAAATAAAAATTAGATACTTATACTAAAATTAAAAAATATCTAAATAGTTGTTCATAAATTTCTTATAAAATCAATTTTAAAACAATGAAAGAGCCACAAATTCGTACAATCCATTATATTCTAAAAGAGGAACATATCACTATTATTTGTTTCCATATGAGTAAATACATTTCACTTGTTCCACATCGGCAATATACAAATTTTCTACTCTCACTCATTTGATTCTCAAGATTTTTTTTTGTAATAATATTCATTAAAAAACAAATCTGACTTATAGCACAACTCTGTGGATGAATCATAGTTCTAAGTTACAGTTATTTAAAGAACTGAGAAACAATGTGTACTAATTGTCATAATTGAATTTATATAATCAAAGAATATTTGTGCTTCATTCAAAGATTGGAATGTAAAAGGGAATTTGAACATTCTGATGTACATTACATGGATTAAGAAAGGAAACATGTCATATCTTATCTTGTTTACCTCATGTTGTTATAATACAACTGTTACAATAGCATTGTCTAATTGAACCATTTAAGATGCATTAATATCAATATATATATATATATATTTTAAATCTGCTGATAATCAATTATTTTACACTTGAGTAGAAGTACCCCTAACCTATATTATAAGGGGGATGAATTCCATCTTTCAACATACACATGAAATTATTCTATTATGCCAAATTCTTTGCATTCTTTTCATTGTACATTTACTTTAAAAATTAGCTTTTACATAATATTTGATGGGATCATTATTATAAGTTGGAAAATGATGAGTACTCAGCAAGATTCATAAAGTATGAGGGTTATGAGCATACAATAACAACAACATCATCATCAAGCCTTTATCCCACTATGTGAGGTCGGCAGGGTTATAAGCATGAAAAGAAAAATTATTTTAGACAATTTCCAATGCATTATTGTAGTATCAAGAAAATTACCTGATGCATGTAAGAGTACATAACATTCAATGTAAATTTAGAAGAATGGACATAATTACTATAAATTAGAAATATAATCATCCACGTTAACCACATAAGATTTACCATGCATCCTTAATATTTAAGGGCCTGTTTACTTGGTTAAGAAATGAATTTAGTATAAAAGGAATACAATGTAAATTGAATACTTTGGAGTTTTTTGGATGAGTGTAAAAGGATAGCATGACATTACTTTTTTTGTTTGGTTTGAAGTAAAATGAATACAATGTAAAGCGCAAAGAGTGATGTTGTAAAAGACTGATGTTGGCGGAAGTGGCGGTCGGAGGTGACAGTTGCGGTGAATTGTGGTTGCCGGCAATGGCGGGAGGTGACGAGCGGTGGTGGTGAACAACAGTGGTTTGCGGCGGGTGGCGACACTCGGCGGCGATGGTGGTCACCCACCACAACCATCACCGTTAGCCGCCACCAACATCACCCCCATTGCCTCCTGCCACCGACCTTCACCTTGGCCTCCACCACTGTCGACCACCGATGCCTCATCTTGCCGTCGGCCACCATCGCTTCCTTTGGCCGTCGGCCATCGTTGTCACCTCTGGTCGGCGGCCACCATCACCGCCTATGGTCGCCAGCCACCACCATCCACCACCTACCGTTGTCCGCCGGCCACCATTGCCGCCGTCGTCAGCACCTGGCTGCTATTGCCACCGCCACCACCTGTTGGTTAGTCACCATTTATAAACTTTACACTATGTTCATTTTACTTTAAACCAAACAAAAAAGGTCATTCACCTGAATATACTTTATACTCATCCAAACAACTCTAAAGTATTCATTTTACACTGTATTCTTTTTACAATACATTTCTTTTATATTTTATTTCTTTTTTAGCCAATCAAACAACCTTTATACCAAACTTTATCATAAGGGAATGACAGTTCAATCATGGATCCCAGAATAAGTAAAACTGTCAGTTGATAGAGACTTTTAGGTCAATATGGGGTCTAATATCTTGGGCTGTTTTATGCAAGCTTTTTTAGAATGGAGAAGCAGAGCTATTGGGTCTAATCTAGATGAGACAATAAACTTAATGGAACTAATTAGAAAAAGTGGATGGGAGTTGAAGTATCTCCAAATGATTTTTGCCTTAGAAATAAAATGGAGTTTATCAATAGAGGGAAGACCCAAGCCACCTTTATCTCTATTAGCAATATATTTGAA